AAATAAAAACTTCAATTTATTCTTTAAGTTGACAAATAAAATTGTTGCTGTTTCGATCAAAACTTGGAAATAAAATTATTTCATCAAATTTTAGCTCATTCTGCATAAAATGTCTGACTTTTAYCCATTTTTGTGTTTGCTCAATTCAAGAAAATTTCATTAAAATCCATGCTATTTTGCTAACAGACAGAAAAACTAGCAAAACAGCTGAAATGCGGGTAGTAAAGGCTAAAATGTTAGCTTGAGGCTAATACCAGTGTTTTCCACTTCCTGTTTCAGCTGAGAAACATAATCTTTCATGCAGTTAACTGATCATTAATCAYARTGGACACTCTGAGATGACTTTTGTTGTGAGTTAACGCTAAATAAACCCGACTTAAATCAATGTCTTCACAAGCGTTTCATTGAGCTCGTGTTTAGKGAGGCGTCTCTGGTGCGCGGCGGCGTTTTCCCAGAGGTTAATCTCCGCTAACACGGTTACTAAGTTTGGCCGAGCTGTGAAATATCAGGCTGGCCGGCTTCCCAAAACAAAAATAACCTTGGGCCTCTGAGCTAAATAAGTCTAAAAATCCAATCCGTCTTGCTCGCAGTCCTCTCCTGAGGCGAGCATTTCTAAACAGAATTGATCGGGCCGAGCGATCGTTCATCACAGCGAGCCGGAGTCGCCGTTTAAAGGAGGAGAGGAAGAAGATTTTAAGGGTGGAATATTTCCAACAGGCCCCCGTGTCATTCAGGTAAACTGAATGAATCGATTGGGCTAAAAAGGGTGCAGTGTGTGTGTGTGTCTGTGTGTGCGTGCGTGTGTTTGACAGAGAGCAGGGGTCACCAACTAAATTTGCTCCGGGGCCAGAACTTTTCTGCAGGAGCCGCGTTTCAGTGTGGAAAAAAAAAAAACATTAATATCCAGAGAGCTGAAACTGAGATACAAGGCAAAACATCAGCTAAAAGCTAAATGTAGAAAACAACTAATTATAAGCTAAARGCAAAATGATGGCTAAAGGGTAACACTTCCAAATTTTCAGATAAAAGTAACCAGAGGGTGTTAGGGTAACCAAAATTGGCTGCAGTTCCAGGTTCAAACACTAGAGGCGCTAATGAGTCAAATAGTAAAGTCCAGAATGAATCAAGCTGACAGAATTCTTCTTCTCTTAAATTTTGAACTATCCTGCAAAAAAAGTCTTTCAACTGACAAATGATGGCTGGATTTTCTCACATGTTGTGTATTTGAAAAATTTTATCCATGTACAGTAAAATGTATGAAAAAATGATGAGGAGAATTTACTGTGCAAGACTTTTGGTACCACTTTACAATAAGGCTCCCCTTATGTATGGCTTATAGAGTTTATAGATAGTTTATTAATTCATTTGTGAAGTTTACACTTCATAAATCATTAATAAGTGAAACTGGACAAATTTGTCTCTTTCTTGTCCTTAATTATTGCATAATAAACATTAATAATTTTTAAAGTGTTTACAGATTAATTAATAACCTATGTATAAACTCTTAAAAAGCCATCTATAAGGGGGGCCTTATTGTAAAGTGGTACCTTTTTAAAAAAAATTCATTACATTACAAGTGTTTGAAATGTAAAATGTATACACTGGGAATTTGTGTGAAAGGACGTTGAACAAAGACTTGGCATCTCTATGAATATTGTGGCCCCTTGATGGCCCCTMACTCAGAAAAATCCTAGATCCGCCCCTGTCAGAGACTAACTAAACATGGAAAAATGCTATCTCAAATCAAAGCATATCAAAATCTAGCTAAAAGCAAAAAATAGCTATAAGCAAATAAATAACAAAAGGTTAGCTACAAGTATTAAAATGCTAAGTATAAAATATTAAAAGGCTAGCTAAATGAGAATAGAAGCCAAAGGCTAACTAAACATAGCAAAATGCTATTTCAAAGCAAAAAGTGTCAAAATATAGCTAGAAAGCAAAAGGTAGCAAAACACTAACTATAAGTAAAAGCAGTAACATAAGGCTGGCTAAAGTATGAAAATAAAAGTAAAAAGTAGCCGATTAGTAGCTAAAAGCAGCCGACAGGTTAAGTCAGAAGCCCATGCAGTGAGCAGCAGCTGAAAGGCTGCCTCTGATTAAACATCCTTGTAAACGTGAATGAAGCCAGCATGCTGCAAATTTGAGCCTCTTCAYTTTAAACAGCTCATAAAATTAGGTTGGAAGACGATTGTCGCTAATTCAGTTTCATTTACAATCATCTGGAAGGAAAAGAGCAGTTTGATGAGCTCCCTGAGACAAAGAGAAGAGCTGATTATTGTAAACTTGATGCAGACTCAGACCTGATTAGAGTGTTTCTGGATCAGAGTTCCTCTCATCCAAACAAAACAAACTCCTCTGAAGTGTCAGATATTTAAAGAGCAAAGACTTCGCTTTATTGTTCAAACTCAACTGTGATTGTGGCTGATTAAAGAGACGGTTTGATCCTTTGAAGAGTTCGTCAGGTTATCAATAAATAAAATGGAACAGYCTGAGAATGATAAGAAGATGGAGAAGCTGAGTTAATGACACTGTGAACAGGTGTGAGCAACTAAAACAATTAGCAAACAAAAAGAAATAAAACTGATCATTTCTACTCAACCAGCTCCTAATTTTAATTTGAACTTTTATTAATATAAATTCAGTCAAATGAAATAAAACAAGCGGTGGATCTACATGTTTTCACTCTCTTTTAAATATTTCATCACATSTGAGCACATAAACAGCCACGTTAATAATTTACAGCAAGTGTTGGAGATCAAAACCTTCAGGTAACGTTAATAATCYGCCGTGTAACTTTAAAAAGTGCACTCTAAGAAGTGAGAAACCAGAACAGGAAATTGCCTCCATTAAGCTCTGCAGGTTTGTTCCTTTGCACTGAGAGCAATTTGATTTTCAGGAAGTGCAAACAGCGTGTTGGAGGCTATAATTTCCCCCATTATCCCCGCCTCACCGAGACCACGCTAAAGTGCCTTAAATTAAGGCTCCGCACTCAGCCGAAATTACTAAAAAGGCTCCTTCTTCTCCACCCGGATTCTTCACATCAGCAAAGCCATGTTCCACCAGAAACAGCTGCTTTCATGCTAACGCTGAAAAGATGAAGAAAAGCTACATTTAGCAAAAACTAGCTATAAGCTAAAGCTAAAAAACAATATCTAAAATTAGCTAATCAATAGTTAATATAAGCTATAATACAAGTGAAACAGTAGCTAAAAGCTAAGGCTTAAAACAATAACAAAAAAAACAAACAAAATTAGCAAATCAATTGTTAAGATAAGCTAAAATATCAGCAAAAAACTAGCGAAAAGCTAAAGCTAAAAAACAATATCTAAAATTAGCAAATCAATCGTTAAGATAAGCTAAAATATCAGCAAAAAACCAGCTAAAAGCTAAAGCTTGAAGAAAATAGCTGAAAACTAAAATTAGAAAATCCATAGTTAAGATAAGCAAAAACATGAGCAAAACACTAGCTAAAAGCTAAAGCTAAAAAACAATATCTAAAATTAGCAAATCAATAGTTAAGATAAGCTAAAATATCAGCAAAAAAACAGCTAAAAGCTAAAGCTTAAAGAAAATAGCTGAAAACTAAAATTAGAAAATCCATAGTTAAGATAAGCTAAAATATCAACAAAAACACTAGCTAAAAGCTAAAGCTAAAACAATAGCTGAAAACCAAAATTACCTAATCTTGTGTTGGACTTTAAACTAAACTGATCTGAACAGTGAATAAAATCTAAAATTTACTAAATTGTAGCCAAAAGTGAAAACCAGCAGAAGAGTATCTAAAACCTGCATACATTAGCCAAAATAAATAAATAAATAAATAAATAAATAAATAAATAAATAAATAAATAAATAATGAGGACACAAGCTAAAAACTAAAACTTACAAAAATAAGCTTAAATTTAAAATAATCACAACTCTCTTTTCTTAAAAGCTGTAGCAGAACAGAATGTAAAAGCTAAAATAAAAAAAACAGCTATAACTAAATTTATCAAGGCTAACTAATAGCTTAAAAATATCAAAACATTTTAACTTAACTTCACAACATAAAAACCAACTAAGTTAAAGTTGCTGACTGGTTGCTTATAATTAGAATTGTAGCTGCAGGTGAAAGCTAAAGGAATAGCTATAAGGAAAATAACACAACAGTATCTAAAAGCTAAAATTGAAAGAACAGTTGTAGCTAAATGCTAACACTAGCAAAATCATAACTAAAAGCTAACATTATAGGAACAATAGTTTAAAGTTAAAACTAAATGTGATTAAAATCTAAAAATGCAGCAGATTTCAAACAGCACAAACATTTCTGAAAAAGTCTTAATGCAACTTTAAGAGAAAAAAATCCAAGACGTAGAAAAGCTACAAAAATAAAACGTCGTATCTGTAAAGTCCTGAATGAGCTAAAATATCTCAGTTTCTTATTTTCTGTCGTATCTGTGTGTTTTTCCTCAGTTTTGGTGTGTGTGTTACTGTCGTCCTTCATTACTCCTCCAGTCTCACCATCCTCAGCCTTCACATCCAGCTTGTTTCCAGTCGCAGCATCATGAGTCAGAATTATTCATGTTTCAGCTCGCTCCTCTGTCAGCTCTTCTACTGTACGTCTTGTACTTTGATTCAAAATAAAAAACCATAAATGGAGACGACATCGAAGATATAAAATGAAATCTTTATACTAGAACCTTTCAGACTGGTCAGAATAATTGTTTCAGACAAAACAAGTCAAACTAGAGAAAATGCATTTAATGCTAGAGTGAATGCTTATTGCTGAAAAGTTTAGCTGCAAGCTGCTGAAATGGAGCTGAAAATGTTTAATAGAAAAACAACTAATGCAAGTTCAGTTTGAAAACCCGAAAGAAGCACAAAAACAAAACAAACAGAAATTAGCAGAAGAACAGCAGAAAGGAGCAGAAATATAGCTAAAATGGCAGAAAAAGCTAAATTTAGCATGAAAATAAGCTAAAGGTAGCAGACACAAGTTGAAAGTAGCACCCAGATGGTAAAAGGGGTGTAAAAATGTAAAAATATCAAGAGAAAAAGCATAAAAGTACAAAAAAGTGACAATTTGTRGTAATATATCTAAAACAGCTAAAATAACTGCAGTAAAACGGCTGGAATAAAAGCTGAAATTTGCTCATATTWGCACAAAATAGAAGGAGCATGTGTTTGCCAAACTATGCAGAAAAAATGCATAAAAAGTCACCATAATTGGTATATAGATGAAAAGTTACATTTAGCAGCTAAATAATAGCCAAAATGCAGAAAGCACCTGTAATTAGCAGAATAAAACTGATAGAAGTATAAAAATACAAAATCAGCAGAAAGAAGCTAAAAAAACTGAAATAAGCAGAAATTAAGAGATGGAGAATTATAGCTGAAATTGAAAAATAAATAAATAAATTAATTAAATAAAACGAAAAAGTTAAAATTAGCATAAAACAAGCTAAAGGTAGCAGACACAAGTTGATATTAGCACCCAGATTGTAAAAGGGGGGTAAAAATGTCAAATTAGCAGAAAAAAGAAACATAGAAGAACAAAAGTGTCATGATTTGTCAGTTTTTCACCTTAGTTTTCCTAGTGTTTTCTATGTTCCCCAGTGTGTCTCAGTCCAGCTGCCCCTTATTTGTTTGATTAGTCACCCTCGTGTTTCTCCCCAGGTGTTTTGTGTTTCAGTRATTAGTCTTCTGTGTATTTAAACCCTGTCCTGTCTCAGTCTTGTGTCGGATCATTTTGTGTCTGCTGTGCTTTGTCCCCTGCCTGTGTGATCTCCATTGTTTATGTAAGTTGAGCTGTCTTTACAGCATTTTTGTTATTTAAAATAAATTTTTGTTGTACTTTTTGAGCCAGCCTGCAACCTGGGTTCTTTCCTGCCTGATTCTTACAAAAAGTGAAAACTTGTTAGTTAAACAGCCGAAATGTGCAGTGAAACAGCTGAACTGAAGCTGAACATGCTGATATTAGCTGAAAGTAAAAGGAGCACAAGTTTGCTCAACTAAGCAGAAAGAAGCTGCAGCAGCCATAAAGCTATTTTTTGCTATTTGCTGAACATTAGCTAAATGTGCAGCAAATATAGCAGAAAGCAACTGTAGGAAGCAGAAAGAGCTCAAATTGGCAGATAAAGCACAAAAAGTAAAAAAAATAGCAGACGAATAGCAGAAAGAAGTAGAATTATAGCTGAAATAGAAGAAAAAAGCTAAAATGAGAACAGAAAAGTTAAAAAAAGCAGACGCAGAACAAAAGCTGTTCTGTAAAGATTTAGAAACATTTTGAAGGATTTTAAGGATGTTGAAAACACCTCTGTTCATTTTCAATGGGAACTAGAAGCACTCGGAGAGTGCAAACCTCCACCAAGACCAATTTCCCCATRCTGTAATAGYGTCACAAAGYYGCACACCAATACTACAGTGCCACCTGCTGGACACTTTGAAACCCACGCCCTGTGAAAGCATCACAGCTTTGCCGATCTCAGAGTGTTCAAAGAAAAAAATTCCTGTGTCCGCATCGTGATCCTGAACATCACCAAAATCTAAAGGTGTGTTCCTTGGCCCAGTACACACATGTGGTAAAAATTTCATGACAATCTGTCCACAGTTTTTGAATAATGTTGTTCACASACAGAACGACAGACAGACACACACACGCGACCGAAATGTTTTGGCGGAGGTAAAAATGTGGCCGTAAAGGTGAAAGTTAAAAAAGTATAAATAGCTGAAATATCAAAAGTCTTTGCTGGAAAGTCCTGAAGGAGCTGAACGTTTTGATATATGAATTGTTAAAAAATAACAACAATTGCGTAACAAGATACGAACCAAAAAACGTACGGAAGAAAACCTGAATGATCGTGAGGCTTGTGAAACTAATGAAGCTTAGATCCAAGTTGTTCATAGAGTAACTGTAAAGTATTAATATTAAATCTAACAGCCTTTTTAACATTGAACCGGTGCAGTCATATTTATCTTTAATGTTGGCGACATGTCTAACAAAGATGCCTTTCTTGTTCCCGTGTTAACAGCACGTAATTTACACATGTCTTCCAGCGTCTGATTTACTGTTGAAAAGGTGCTTATTTCACATATTCCCTGACACACACACACACACACACACACACACACACACACACACACACACACACTGTCATGTAGCGTGTCCCTCGCTGTGAAATGTGTCATCCCTCGGTGAGTAACAGCTGAGGGCTGAACAGGGTTAAATTTGATGACTCAGCCTTTTTTCTGTGCTGATCAGATTTGTGTCTGTTGGGTTACAGACTCTCCCCCGGAGTGGCAGACTGACTATAAATATGCAGTAATGAAGCTAATGAAATATTTATTGACCATCTCCCTCCTTTATCTTTATTTTTTTCCCCAGGCAGGTGGGATGAGCTCCGAGTCCTCCTGGATGACTTTATTCTAATGCCTCCACTCAAGCTGCTGTTCAAACCAGGGATTTTTAGCTGTATTTACATAAGTCAGTGCGAGGGGAGCCCACGGAGGCAGGCCTGGCTTCGTTTAGGGCTTCATACGAGCTGCATGGCAACACCGTTTTGTCATATTCAGGTCATGGCAACTGGCAAGTCAATTACCCAGTCTGTGCTCAATCCTCAAAGCATGACACGCAGCAAACATGTTTACTATGCATGAATGTGAGGCGGCATCGCAGAAATGCAACGATTTTTCCTACTTACAAGCTGGAGTTTTACACTTTGAGCTGGCTTCAAGGAGCCGAGAAGCTGCAGCCGCAATTTTCTTTCACCGTTTTATCATTTAGATGAAGCTGCGTCTGAACATTTCATGCTACTTTACATAAATTCTGTATGAACTGTAGAATGGTCCAAAACACACTGCTGTGATCTGTTGTGGACGAGACGTTCAGAGGATAACGGTACAAACTGAGGGAAACTAATGGAAGCATTTTAAATAAAACATTCATTAAAAATAAAAAACAAATCAACACAAACAACTGGATAAAATCTGGTTGTCTTCACTTCAAACCTGGACTCCAGCAGAGTGATTCATCAGATTTGGGTACGAAACGAACAAAGTTGATACAAAGTGTGAAAGTAAATCTGTAAATAAAACCTTTCTGCGCAGCCGTAAACACCTCTATCAAACTGYAATGAACCGATCTTGAAATTGGAGGGGGATGTAAAGCTCCTTGTATGGATTTCCTCAGAAAAGGGGCGGGGCTTGTGGCACCCCAAAAAAGGGGCAGGGCTTGTGGAGTTACAATGGGCAGGGATTCAGACCAAAGCATTGAAATTTTACTTTCTATAGACCCCAATAGAAGGATTTCAATGCATCATATGTTTATTTTTAAGTTTTAATTTGAAAAACAATGTTTTAGGTTCAGTCTAATGCATCAACGTTTAACTAAATTGCTCAGGATCCAGACATCTGGAGGTGGGGAGGTGGAGGACGTTGCAGAAT